TTTCATCGTTCCATGTCATTATAACTACACAATGCATTGCTAGATCTAAAAAAAGAAAGTTTCTGATGTTTCCTGTTTTTACCATCACATTCATTTTAATGAGCTAATCATCAACGAACTAATGTTCTCTCGGTTTGTTTTCAGTTGCAGCTACCAGAAGCTTTAGTTAAAGCCATCACCAGCTCGCAAACTAGCTTTCACTTGATCTTGTCATCTTGCTATCTGGTTTTATCTGTAACAGAGTGCAGTAGGTGGATATTAGATATCTCAGTAACCTAAAGCTTTACCTTTGCTTGTCGTAAAAAGTCTAGATTTCAACTGAGTCATTTTTACCTGATAAAGTCTGTAAGTATTTTGCTTTGTAAAGCAAATAGCAACAACTTCAATCACTATTTTCCAATTGGATTAATGCATGACAAGCACAGTCCTGGGTCATAGTCATGAAAGTCTTAAACCTATTTTCTATAGGCCTCTATATCCTCTCCCTTTGTAACATTGTAATGATTTGTCATGCTATTAAAGCATGGAGGTTTACTGTACACTAAGTCGTCCTGGGTAAAGGGTAACTAATCCCTTACTCTGACCTACTAATTTAGCTTCTGTACGGCCTTAAGCTCTACAGTTCTCAAGTATACACTAAGGATATACACTAAGAGGAGTAATACTAATCAGTAATCAGTGGGCTTATAGTCTATTTTTTTATGTAGTACTTCCCAATTCAGTTAAGTTCACCAGCACTATATGACTTCAAAACAGTTTAAACAAGTCTGCAGAATTATATACTGGAGACCATTAAAGACAATAGAGCTATAAAAAGATACATGATGAACTGACTAAAAAAACAAGACAGTTCTGACAGTCATATAGCATCTGCACCAAGGGCAACAGAGACAGAAGAACAATTGCCAAAGAAAACTACTTTCTGCAAAATTGCTGTGTGATTACCATAATTGACGGCTCTGTGATAGAAAAAAAGGCCAGTCATTTGGAACTTTGCAAAGCTGGTGTTTATGGATAGGCGGGTGTTTAGAAATTCCTCGTTCCATGAAACGGGGCATAAAAATGCAGATGATGATGTGAGGTGCACAAAACCTGAGCCCCAGAGCGGTGGGAAAAACAATCAAGCGTGGTCTAACGACTTAGCCTTCCTTCCCTTCAACCCACAATGATCCCACTGAATGGCAGTGAATCATTTTATGATTGTTCTCCTTCTTTGAGCCTTTATATATTCTAAGATATGAATCTCTGAATTATTTCTGTAATCCCACCAATCAGAGCTCAACTTCGCCTACTCTGTAATGACAGCCTGTTGAGCCAAAGTTTGACCCTGACCTCTGGACTGCCACCACCATTCATGTGATGTTACTTGTCATTTACTCAAACACCTATAATTACACTTCGCAAGCAATATTTTGTAGTCACGACAGTTTCTGACTACATGTTGCTATACTTGTCTAGATATAGGCAGTAAAACAATTCCTTCCTTTTTGTTGGTGCCAGGTCTCACATAAGCCCATATGGTGCAAATAAATCTCACACCAAATAAGGGGAGGCATCAAATTGGAAAAATCGACTAGGCTAAATATCAGCCTTGTTCCACATTTCAGCAATGGAAATCAGAGCACTCAAAGTAAAGTAAAGCATGCAGATCTCAGGATCCATGGGTGTGCTGCCAAACTGCATTTACACATTGGCGACTTAATTCATTATTCAATCAATTATGTTAGACATGGAAATAGGATCAGCCAGGTCCTAATGGCAAATCAAAGTCTTTTTTTATTGTTGCAACAAATACAAAGAGAGATGATTTACACGAGCAGTGATAATCTTATTAACCAATAATTTCCGGTATAGTTTTCATCAAGGACCTTTTTTCAGACCAAAACAAGGCAATAACTAACTAAAAACTAATTCACGAGAAAAAAAACCTATGATGAAAAGTACTGACCCTTTCATCAGCAAATAAACGAGATGAAAATATTCTGGAGAGATGAGATTCAAGTTGATGCTCAAGTTGGTCTGCCTCATGTTAGAGGCCAGTTGTACTGCTCTATCAACAAGGAGCTGGTGCTTTTTGCCCTCTGTTTGTATTTCTAATGCCTTTCTGACTTGTGCTTATGTGTTGGCTCATGTGCCTACTCAGCTTGGTGGCTACAATGCCAGAGAGGAACGTTCATGTTTAGAAAAAGTAGGTAATTGGGTGGTCGTTTGATGGTGAAGGTCGTTCATGACTAGGATTGTTCTTTCCTGTCTACATGTGCAACCTCTGTAGGGTCCAGGTATCATCTCATGCTACCAATAGAGAAATCGACCCTAGTCAAATCAAAAACTAGTGAACAGTCAGAAAGAAGGAGGAAGGAAAAAATGCCAGTAGCCTCGAGCTGTTTGGGGGTTGTGTCATTGTTGCCGCTTTGGTGCACCAGTGGTTCATTTCATTAACACCAAAGCAATTTAAACTGATTAACACCCCCCCTCTCCCTCTTAACTGACCAGATCTTTATCCCCATAAGTTTAACTGACTTGATGCTATACTCTGACAGGATAGAGTTAACCTCAGTGCATGTCTACAATCATCTGTAAAACATGGTGGAGTCTCTTTCATGGTTTGGAGCTGTATTTCAGGCAGTGGTGTTGGGGATGTTTCCAAAATTGATGCAATTGCGAACAGAACAGTTCCATCAGATTTTGCTCCACCATGCTATACCACCTGGAAAGCTTCTGTTTGGCAGCAGCTTCAGTTTTCAGCATGACAATGATCGCAAACACACTGTCAATGCAGTAACAGCATAATTGGATAGATGAACACACAATAGAACACTATCAGGATGGATTGGCCTCCCCAGAAATCGTCATGACAGAGAACAGAAGAAAAGGCAGCAGAGAAGCCTGGAGAACTATTTCTGAAGACTACCTGAAGAAATTACAAGAAATCTTGTCTAAGGAACTTTAGGCTATATTGAAGAATAAAGGTGGTGATGTCAGCTGTGGACTTTCAAACTTGTTTAGACCTTATAAGCTGTATACTGTACATTTCAAGAAATTGCTGCACCTATTTCCCATTTCCCTAGCTAAATATGCAGAACAACGGGTTGCTCAAGGCTCTTGCATAGTATTGCTTATATACCTTATATGTACTGCAGGTGATAGCTGAAACAGTCAACGACAGCACAAATGGGCTAGCTGACAGTGAGAACCAATAGGTTAAACATCTAGCTAGCTAACTCCATAACAATTCAAGTATCTTTTTAAAACAACCATAAAGGAGCTCTTTATGAGACAGAAAGCCTACATGTATGATAACTCACCACGCCTGAGCTGCTAATATCTGCCTAGCCTGTGCATCCAGCTACAGAGAATTTTCAACTAGTTTTCACCAGAAATAAACTTAAGTAACATAATTGATGGAATTAACATGCTCCTCAACCTTTAAATGCTCAGTTACTACAGTATGCGGCAAGTATTGCTTTTATTTGACGTGTATGCCCTACTGAATATTGATTTGTCAGTAACTTGTAAGGGAAAACACACTTTGCCTTTTGAAATCGTCTGCTTTTACTTTCTTTAATAATTCAGACAGCTGCACTTAGAGTGTGTGGAACTGCAGTAATTTATGACTCCGACTGAGCTGTAGCTGCTTTTGCTTCACCCATAAGGAAAGAGCAGCAAAGCGTTAAGCGTAAAGTGTTTAGAAGTTGGCAGAGGTGCACTGTGTTTTCTGCCAAAGTGTTTAGCTTTTCCTCTGCCTAATGAAATTCACCAGTAATCCCTTATCGCAATCTAACTACCCTCCAATTAAAGGTCTCGGCCTTTGGCCTGACCATGCCCAATTTTAAACACTACATACAGTCTGGAGCACTACCCATCTGCCAAGTGAACACCTAGAATGGAAATACTCAGGTCAAGATGTGATTTGACGGCCTACTGTTATGCAACAACAAGCCAGGCTTTCAGTTGTGTTTGTGATAGTCAGCATAATAAGTTGTTTTAATGGAATTTCAGCTCTTCTTGTGTTGTATTAATAGATTTAATGTGCATAATTGTCTTTTTCATGCCTCCAGAAATCTCTTGATGAGGGAACAACACTTGGCTGCACCAATTTCACCGTGCACGCCTCTTTAAAAGTTGTTTATCACTGCCAAAGAACTAATCACTGCTTTCTGTCCCCAGTATGAAATATGCAGCCTTTGGAAAGCATCAAAAGTAAAGAATAAATGCAAAATGAAGGTGTCTAGTGTAATTGGGCCCTCCTCCCTCATTATTTTTCCTCTCTGCAGATAATTCCTCTCCCTGTCTCCCACCTTAAACTTTCTGCTTCTCAAATGCTTTCCATAGTATTCGCCAATCTTTTCCAAATCTTGACATGACCATGATTAAGTTTTTGTTTTCTCTCTTTTCCTTTCACCATTTTCTCCTCCTCAAAGTTGTTGTTAGTTTTTTTTGTTTTGTGTTTTTTTTTTTTTTTT